TCACACATATACACACACACACACACACACACACACACACACACACACACACACACACACACACACACACTACTACACACACACACACACACACACACACACACACACACACACACACACACACACACACACACACACACATGGACGGACGGACCCGCGCGACGTTAACACACGCCGAAACGAAGGAATAGCGAGTCGCACCATTAGAGAAGGATTCGTGTGCACGTTATGCAGGCCATATGCGCACGGCTAGACAGCTCGCGAGTAGCGTCACATTCCACACGACCGAAATTCCAAGACGAACGCTCATCACATGGCTCAATGCATCGAGGGTAGAAGGGTCATATACATAACTACAAAAGCCCAGAAGGCTCATGCGAAATGCGAAATGCGAAATGCGAAATCTGAAGCAACCAATCAGAGAATGTGTTGGTCTTGACGAATCGCATGACCGGTATTAATTACTACAAAGACAAAGATGGCCGCCATCTCGATTACAAACAATGAAATGTGACGATTAATGGGAAGTCTACTGTACTGTTGTATAACGAATATGCACACCTTAAAAAAACCTTCGAAGACGGGTAACATGCTAGTGCTCTTGAATTAAAGATTTTATAACAGGTTTATCCAACGTAAACCCACGATTTTCAATAAATGTGAAGGTAAATTGTTCACCCTCATTGTTTGTAATCGAGATGGCCGCCATCTTTGTCTTTGTAGTAATTAATACCGGCCATGCGATTCGTCAAGCTCAACACATTCTCTGATTGGTTGCTTCAGATTCCGCATTCCGCATTTCGCATTTCGCATTTCGCAGAAAATTGTACTAAGTGGTGGGCCAGTTTTTCGTTTGAATGAAATAATCTTTCTAGTGCTCCCGCAGGTGTTTTCACCTTAGACCTCGTAATCTTCATCTCGGATTTTGCATTTCGCATTTCGCAGTTTGCATTTCGCATTTCGCATTTCGCACATAACCCTTCTGAGCTTTCGTACATAACCCATGTAGGTAGACCGTCATGTCAACAACACTGCAGCGGCATTATTATATCTCTCTGTCCCATCTCGGACACGTGACTGATATAGTTCACAAGGATAATAATCCGATTTGCGCTATGCGAAATTTCCGCTATGCAAAACTGTGCGAAACGTCAGGAGTTCTATATTTACGCGCCCTGCCGGTTTATTATTATCAGTTCTATGTTTTGTCTACAAACAGCAGTTACCCCCCCCCCTCTCACAGACACACACGACCGTCACTCACCCGAGTTTACTGAAATGATAAATCGGCTGAACGAGTGAGATAGAGAGGGGTAAAAGAAGTGTGTGAGTGATATAGATAAAGATAGATATATCGATAAATAGATAGATAGATAGATAGATAGATAGATAGATAGATAGATAGATAGATAGATAGATAGATAGATAGATAGATAGATAGATAGATATGAGTGAGTGAGTGAGTGAGTGAGTGAGTGAGTGAGTGAGTGAGTGAGTGAGTGAGTGAGTGAGTGAGTGAGTGAGTGAGTGAGTGCGTGAGTGAGCGAGCGAGCGAGCGAGCGAGTGAGTGAGTGAGTGAGTGAGTGAGTGAGTGAATCAGTCAGTCAGTCAGTGAAAAACTACTGCCGTCGTTATAGTTAAGACTGTTGGGTATTACTGTAGTGCTGGGTAATATATATATTAATGTTGCACACACGCGCGCACTCGCATAATTCGACTTCTATCTCTAAACGCCCGGTGACATGGGGATAAAACTAGACATGATTCTCAATAACAAATATATATTGAACGTGCAAACAACAAGGAATTCGCAATGGATTCTCTTAAACGCACATGAGCGCCGACGTCATTACAACGCTGCGACTTCGCAACAATTTCTCACTTTTCGTCAAACAACGATCAATATTCAAAACAACGGGCGATCACATTTATTTAGAGTTACACTCTTTACATTTGAATTATCTAACACCCATACTTGGTAACAATGAGTGGGCGGGGTTGGGGGGGGGAGGTCGTTCTCTATACGGGGCTGAGGAACACGTCCGGATGATATTGCATTGCTTATAGGAAAATCGCCCTTGAATCAATCCAGTGCGTACTTCTCTCAAACGTTGCACAGGCATTGTCGGGGCATGTCCATGGCCTAACCGCTAAACAAGAGGTTGACATGGGCTAGCAACGTGCGAAACAATGGCATATGGCTGATTAACGATTCACTTGGCAACGTGCTGTAACCACGAGAGGTTGATATCGCCCAGCAACGCACTGTGCCGATGGGAAGTTGGCATCAGTTATCAACATGTTGCACCATCCGGTGATGTGCATCATCTAGCAGCAACGTGTCATAACAACGAAGGGTTGACACCACCTAACAACGTGTTATAACGACGGTAGGTGCACACCGCTTAGCAACGTGCCATAACAACGGTTAACATCGCCTGGATACATGCTGAAACAACGGGAGGCTGACGTGGCCTAGCAACGACGGGAGTTTGACCCCCGACATGCACGACAAGCGCGATATGTCGTTACTGGACTAATGCGCACGCACGCACGCACGCACGCACGCACGCGCGCGGCGCCTATATGTGCGTTGAGTCGGACTCTTGCTCATCCGGCTGCCGCTGTGGGGACGGTTCTCGCAGCTGCAGCATCGTCGTGTCCGTGCGACTTCCTAGCCGCTCGTGATGCTCCTCCTCCTCCTCCTCCTCCCGCTGCTGCTGCTGCAGATGCTGCTGCTGCTGCTGCTGAAGCTGCATGCTCATGCGTTTCGACTGCACTTCAGACGCGCCGTACCTGTCGTCATAAAGCTCTCGCCTCAGCCTATCCTGCATACTGCCGCACCTGCGAAAAGAAACGCGTAGATAAGAAATCCATCGGGTTACTTTTACACACACACGCACGCGCGCGGGCACGCACGTAGACACACGCCCGTAAGCACGCACGCGCCCACACATGCACGCGCATGCACGCACGCGCACAGGCACAAACTCCCGAACAGATTATATTCGATATAACTATAGCCAGATCATGGTCTGAAAGACGATAGTCAGAAAGCACTATAAGTGTTTCCACTGGAAACCACACGCGCGCGGGCGGGCGCTGTGTCTGCGCTCATATGAAAGAGAGAGAGAGATAGAGAGAGGCTGCGTTCTTCTGTCTGATCATGATGCGCGTGTTTCTGACCGTGAGAACGTTCAACCTGCCGATACGCGTATATAAGCTGTCCCACGAGTCTCTTTATTCAGTAAGACACACACGCAAAGCTTCATTGTACCTATGTGACAGACGATAGACGCCTGCATGTTGTGATATGCATGCGTGAGTGGTGGTTGTGGTTGTGGTTGATGTGTTAGGGAAATTCGCGTGTGACTGCGTGATAAAATTCCCGAACGTAGGATGATTAGGTATTTTTGTCCAATACCGTTTTGTTCCGGCTGGTCAATTGTGGATTAGCATTGACCATATGGATCTATAATAAATGGGAAAAAAGTGGGACGTATACAGAAATAGGGAGAAGGAAAGTGACAAAATGCGAAAGAGAGAAACAGAAATACAGAGAGCGGGGGAAAGATAGACAGCGAGAGAGAGGGAAAAAGAAAGAGAGTGAAGAGAAAGAGAAAGAAAGAGAGAGAGAAAAGGGAAAAAAAGAAAGAGAGAGAGAGAGAGAGAAAGAAAGAAAGAGAGAGAGAGAGAGCGCGCGGGGGAGATTAAATCCAACTGATCCACAGAGAATTGCGCATTAACCAGAAATTCGAGGCTGCATCTGACATTCCGGCTCTGGCGGAGTTTTTCTCATCCAATTAAATTCATGCGAAATGGAGATTATAAAAGTATACAATATGCAACGAACATTGTAGAATATGCACATATACTAGGTATATATTTCACTAGGGGACGTCGATATGTCTTCTGCAGTGAATTATCGCATGCCGAATAGCAACATGGCGTCTTGCGTGATATGATGAAACTGGCAAGACATTTATGTTTGCACAATAGCGCGAACGTTTCGGCTAGCGCGAGCATTCTCCTCTCCTCACGTCAGCTTTCTCTCTGTGTCGATTCAGATGGGTGGGGGGGTGCAACTCGCCTTGCGAGTGGCAACTCGGAATCAATCCTGTATTTCACGTACGGCTGCTTCCCTAGTTACAAAATTCTTCTGGTTTCTAGATTTCGCAGCTGCACTTCGCGAAAATGCCAAGTATAGGTGGCGCGATTGAATTCCACGCGTCTGACGTGCCTGACGTGCCTGACGTCACCTGTGCATTCACGAAATATGAATGACTTCGTTCGCAATATAAAATAATAATATTATTATTAATGAAATCAATAAAAGGGGTCCGTAAAAACCTGGAATCCGCTTGATCGACGCGGCATAAATCAACGCGAGTGCCGCCGCCGTGCCTGTTAACACACGGTCGCGCTGTGTTCAAACTGCGGAAACGCGTTCTTATTCGAGATTGCGTCTCTAACGTTAAAAAATAACGACGCGCTATAGATTGCGTTACGTACGGACGGCCATCTATCGGCGCGACGCAGAACTAAATGTCAGCTGTGACGACCGTACGGCAAGGCGCCACACGGGGCCACACGCAAACGAAATGTTTACTAATATCCCTAAAATATCCAAAACCAACTGTATAGATAATACTGAGCAGAGACGCAGGCGTGCACATGAGTCGCATGTCTGGACTAGAGTACGATACTCGTCTGCACGCACGCAGGGTTTCGGCACATGAAAACGGACATTTCTCACAGGGTACTGCAATACTTTCCGGGAATACAAGTTTTTGTACATCGAATACTCTTCCCAGAGTACGATAATACTATGCAGGGTTGCATGTCTCTGCACTATAGCCGGCTCTACTCCTTCCAGAGTACGATAATACTATGCAGGGATGCATGTCTCTGCACCATAGCCGGCTCTACTCCTCCCAGAGTACGATAATAAACTTCAAGGTTGCAAGTAACACCTCTCTGCATATAGAGTTGCGCGCTTGCTTTTCCGCGAAGAGTTGGACAGAGAATCCGAAGCATTGGCGTGCATTATTCATATCTGCACACGGCTACGTGTAAAACATGCATGCAGTGTCCGATCAAGGCGCCTACGGCGGCACAGCACCTCTGGCACATTCAGCTCTCGCTAGATGCTATATGCGTGCATTGCACCAGCCACTGGCTCATGCAGCTCTCGCTAGATGCTAGATGCGTGCATTGCACCAGCCTCTGATTTCGACGAGAAGAAAGCGACGGGGATGCCGGCATCGGAGTGGGCGGTCGTTGCAGCAGTGGCTGTAATTACTCCTCTGTTTGGCCGTAAGGATTCATTTTCGCCGGACGCGCCCGCTTTGTGCTCAAGGCGAGGATTAGGGAAAGGCTGTACAGTGGCGCACGGCTTGCTAGCTGCGCGACGTTGATCGTAGGGGAAGTGCTAATTCTGGACTGTGCTTTATTGCTCATTTTAGCCACCCTGGATTTCAACATCCCACGTCAGCACAGCATCCCAGGATTTCAGCATCTCATGTCACCTAAGCATTCAACGTCACCTCAGCAGCCCGCGCCACCTCAGCATCCAACGCCAGCTCAGTATCCCACGCCAGCTTAGTATCCCATGTCACATCAGCATCCCACTTCGTCCCAGCATCCCACGCCACCTTAGCATCCCACTTCATCCCAGCATCCCACGTCACCTCGGCATCCCACGTCATCCTAGCATCCCACGTCACCTGACCATCCCACGTCACCCCAGCATTCCACGCCACCTCAGCATCCCGCATGTTACATTAGCATCCCGCATCATCTCATCATTCCAAGTCACCTCAGCATCCCACGTCATCTTAGCATCCCACGTTACATTAGCATCCCGCATCATCCCAGCATCTCAAGTCGCTTCAGCATCCCACGCCAGTTCAGCATCCCACGTCACCTCAGCATCCCAAGTCACCTCAGCATTCCACGTCACCTCAGCATCCCACGTCACCTTAGCATCCCGCATCATCCCAGCATCCCAAGTCACCTCAGCATCCCACGTCTTTCCAGCATCCCACGTCACCTCAGCATCCCACGTCACCTTAGCATCCCACGTCATCCCAGCATCCCACATCATCCCAGCTTACCGCTGGTAATTAATTGTCCAATCACGACATGTGTGTTTCACGTCGTCACGGGAGGATCACTGTCAGTAATCGACCTGTACAGGGTTCAGTGTATAACCAAACACCGTTGTGTGGTGTGTGTGTGTGTGAGAGAGAAAGAGAGAGAGAGAGAGGAAGAGAGTGTGTGTGTGTGTGTGTGTGTGTGTGTGTGTTGTGTGTGTGTGGATGGGGGTGTGTGGGAGGGAGGGGGGGAGGTGCGTGTTCGCCAGTGGTGTAGATATAGGCTATTAGACACTTATACATGTAGCGATTGAAAGCGCATGCCCAGTATATTTACGGTCACTATTTCTACATTATTTACATAATTATCTCTTTTTTAATATAATTATTGTTGCTAGCAACAGCAGAGAGGTTAGGCGTGTGTATAAAGCCCACTCCTTTTCAAATTCTAAATCGCCTATGAGTTTTAATTATTTTTAAAATCCTATGATATTCTATAGCCGTCTCGAGAATCTCCATTTGCTTTCTAATCTGTTATTCCTCCTACGCTGCTTCGAAACGGTAAAGAATTTAGCGTTTTTTCGTATCGTTTCGAAACACTTTTACGGCGACAGCAAGGGATAATGAACGGGCGAGATAAACGCAATAGACGAGCGTCATTTCCGCGAATTTGCCATGTTGTAATTGCATAATAAAACTCGGACTGTGGCCACGCCGCCGCTGCTGGATAATACAAAGACTAGAGCGCGGCGTAGCTTAGTTGTGCTATTTAATCGAGCCCGCTCGTAAATGCAGGACTCAATGTGAATTATGGGCGGATCGATGGCGAGGAATGTGTGCGTGCGTGCTCGCATGCTGAAGAAACGCCACAACGTCGTTCGTTACATGCTGCGCTACGTTATTACACCAGTCGAAGTAACGGGTATACACACACGCGCCACACACACACACACACACACCACACACACACACACACACCACCACACACACACACACACACACACGACCGCCGCGCGCGCGCACGCACGCACAGCACACACCCACACACACACACACATACAACCACACACACACCCACACACACACACACAGCACACACACACCACACACACATACACACCACACACACACACACACACACACACACACACACACACACACAGCACAGCACACAACACACACACACACACACACACACACCACACACACACACACACACACAAACACACCACACAACCACACACACACACACACACACGCGCACACACACACATATGACGGAACGGACCCGCGCGCACGGTTAAACACGCCGAAACGAGGAATAGCGAGTCGCACCATTAGAGAAGGATTCGTGTGCCACTTATGTCAGGCCAAATTGCGCACGGCTAGACAGCTCGCGAGTAGCGTCACATTCCAACCACGACCGAAATTCCAAGACGAACGCTCATCACATGGCCCAATGCATCGAGGGTAGAGGGTCATATACATAACTACAAAAGCCCAGAAGGCTCATGCGAAATGCGAAAGTACGAAATGCGAATCTGAAGCAACCAATCAGAGAATGTGTTGGTCTTGACGAACGCATGCGGCGTATTAATTACTACAAAGACAAGATGGCGGTCATCTCCGATACAAACAATGATGTGTGACGATAATGGGAAGTCTACCTGTACTGTTGTATAACGAATATGCACCCTTAAAAAAACTTCGAAGACGGGTAACATGCTAGTGCTCTTGAATTAAAGATTT